GTTTTAAATTTTTCTCCTCCTCCCTCCCCAAGACAGCGTGCAATCTTATATAGGCGATACATATACATTTCTATTAAACATATTTTCACATTAGTGATGTTGTAAGTAAGAATTAGAACCAATAGGAGGAACCACCAGAAAGAGGAAACAAAACATAAGAGAAGAAAAAAAAATAGCAAATAGTATGCTTCAATCTGCATTCAAACTCCATAGCTCTTTGGATGTGGATAGCATTTGCCATCACGAGGCCTTTGGAGATTTCTTAGATCCTTGCATTGCTGAGAAGTGCTAAGTCTATCGATATTAGTCATCACACAACTTGGCTGTTATTGTGTACAACGTTCTCTTGGTTCTTCTCACTTCACTCAGCATCAGTCCATACAAGTCTTTCCAGGTTTTTCTCAAGTCTGCCTGCTCATCGTTTCTTATAACATAATAGTATTCCATTACATTCATATACCACAATTTGTTCAGCCATTCCCCAATTGATGGGCATCCTCTCAATTTCCAATTCTTTGCCACCACTAAAAGAGCTGCTATAAATATTTTTGTACATGTGGGTCCCTTTCCCATTTTTTATGATCTCTTTGAGATACAGCCCTAGAAATGCTATTGTTGGGTCAAAGGCGATGCACATTTTTATAGCCCTTTGGGCATAGTTCCACATTGCTCTCCAAAATGGTTGGATCAGTTTACAACTCCACCAGCAATGCATGAGTGTTCCAATTTTCCCACATCTTCTCCAACATTTATCATTTTCCTGTTTTGTCATGTTGGCCAATCTGATAGGTATGATATGGTACCTCAGAGTTGTTTTGATTTGCATTTCTGTAATCAGTAATGATTTAGAGCATTTTTTTCATGTGACTATAGATAGCTTTAATTTCTTCATCTGAAAACTGCCTGTTCATATCTTTTGACCATTTATCATTTGGGGAATGACTTGTACTCTGAATTTTTATTTTAAATGGATATTATTCAAGTTATTACTGAAAAATCTATTTATCCTATATTTTTTAGTATTTTTAGCACAAATAGATGCTGTATTTTGTCAGAAATTTTTCTAAATCATTTGATAGTCCTATGGGTGCTTTATTTGTTGTTGTTCTTATTCTAATCTATTATATTTATCATTTTTTAATTGAACCAACTCTTCATTCCTGGTATAAATCCATCCTGGCTATAGTGTATAATTTTTTTTCTCTTGTTTTTATAGTCTCTTTGTTACTATTCTTTTATTTAAAATTTTTGCATAATTATTCATTTACTTGGCTTTCTAAAAATTCCTTTAAAACAAGGAAGTCATTCATTGACATGGAACTTTTTTTTAAAATTTTAGCGTTTGGGTTAACCTAAGAATATATTCTGGGTTTCTCTTTTAAATCATAGAAGATTTTTCATTATGCTATTTGATCAAAATTTTCTTGATCTGTCCATTGAGTTTCTCCTTCAAGAAGCATGGACAAAAAGCCCCAAGAATTCCATCAGTATTCTCTCTATGACCTGTGATCCAAATATCTAATGAATGCATTCAATTAATTCATGAATTCATGCTATTGTTGAAGCTCATATAATTAATAGAGGAAAAATTGACTACTGTCAAAATACAGCTCAATCTGAAAAAAAATCCCAAACCTCTAATTAGAAGCCCTATTTTTAAAATTAGATCACTTGTTAACTAGTTATTTTGAAATTCATTTCCAAAAAAGTTGTATGGAAAAGAAAAATACTAAGTATAGAGAGAAGTCTTATAAACATATTTATTTTGCTATCAGTTTTTTCCTCAAGATATAAATCATATTTTTCTGCGCTTTAAAGCTGATTTAGTTGTACTGGTTAACATATCAGTATTTGAAGCAGATAAAGTATATGATATGCCTTGTTATTTTAAAATGTGCCATGATTATTTTAATCTTTTGGCTCCATCTGCTCTGATTTGCTACTTTTTAAAATTAACTTGATTTCCTTCTCTTTCATCAGATTGATGTCATTTTTTTGGTCAAACTGGCAATATAATTCTTTTTTGCCATATTTTATATTAATATAAGGACATTAAAATAATTTTTGCTTGTTTTGAATTGCTTTAATTACATAAATACTTTTTCTAATATAAGAATAAAAGGAGATTTAGAATTCTCTGCTATATTCTGTCATATACTTTCGCATCTCATCCTAGTTAAAAAAAAATCTAACATTTCAATCTAACATCCATCTGATCTTTAGTTGAATGTTTAGCTATAACTGTTTCCTGTGGTAAACTTTTTTTAAAAGAAGAGATAATTGTTTATTTTTTAAAGTAGTTTCAGAAGTAAAAAATTTTAGTATGTTTTGTTTTAATGGAAATATATCATGTGTCAGGCCTCAGCAGCAATAGAGTAGGCAAAATTAGAGACCCCAGCAGAGTAGATACTGGCATGGGCAGTGGCAGTGGCAAACCTAGTCTAACTCTCTGCTTACTGTAATCTATTTGGTCCTTCTACATTGCTTCCTGTAGGACATCCAGTGGTCATTGGACAGCTCCTCCCTAGGGAGCAATTAGAGGACCAAAGGGTGGCATTCTTGGAAAGTGGCTTATTCTCAGGCAGAAAGGAAAAGGTAACAAATGTCTACCCAGTTTCCACAAAAGTAGGGTGACAGTCCCTCAGAGGGGGAAAAGACTTGTTATTCATTTCCACCCCCCTTATCCCCAAGGGGCTTTCAGGAAGGGAAGTGGGCCAACCAACACTTAGTGAGTAAAGGGCAGTTCTGCTAATCTATCAGTGACCTTTTCAAGAAGCATCATCTTTAATGTAGCCCTGCTGTTCCTGATACTTTTGTGGCTCAAGTTCACATCTTTATATTGAGAGACCCATTGTGAACTGCAAAGATTTGGCATCACCTACCACATAGACCAGATTCTTTAGATTTAAGACTCAGTCCTTTTCCAAGGTTAGGCAAAGCTTTGGTTTTTTGGTCTTGTTTTTCCTGTGTGCAAGTCACGCCTTCAGGGGATTATTAAATTGTTTTGTTGTGCTTTGCTTTAACTTTCTTTCTGAATTTTTCTTTTCCTTCTTTAGTGATACTTATATTAGATTTTTTGCATCTGTGAGTTCAGAGTTGACCAGTAATAACTCTAAAATCATTTAGGTGATAAAAGGTCTTACTAGAACAAGGGTGTCAAACTCAGGGTCCCCAATACTCTTGAGTGCAGCCCAAACCAAATAAAAATGTAATTGAGAAATATTTAACAAATTAAATAAAAATACAGTAAGTATAAGTAAGGTTAATTTTTGGTTTTCTAAATAATTATGCTGCCCTTGGGGATCCAAGATTTTATGTGTTTCAGTTTGATTTTTGACAACACTGCTGTACAAGAACTTAAAGACCTTATTTACCATCAAGTAATTAGTGTATAGTGGGAGCAGTATCTGAACTCCATTCCCTACTCTCATGCAAGTTTTGTTTTTGTTCAGTTGTTTTCAATTGTGTCCAACTCTTTGTGACCTCATTTGGGATTTTCTTGGCAACAATACAGGAGTGGTTTGCCATTTCCTTTTCCAGCTCATTTTGCTGCCCCATTCCATGCAAGTTAGGTTAGTTTTGCTTTTGTTTGTCTCCAGGGACTAAAGGCTGTGGCTTTTGACATCACTTCCTGGTTGCACTAGTATAAAACAACCATGAGAAATTGTTGCCTGATTTGATGACCTGGCTGGCTGACCAAAACAAGCATCTTAAAAGACAGAAGGGCTTCACTTAGCTAAGTCAAATCAGAGTGTCCTCTGTTTGAATGTCCTTTGCTTGTTATAGCTAAGTAAATCTCCTTTTGTTAAACTGTTGAATAACTTACAAGTGTATCATTTCAACCCAATATCGAACCTAAACCACCAGGATACTGCCTAAGTCAGTCCAATCCAGTATAAAACTCTCTGTAACAATAATTCACAATTTCATGTCATCTTTTTTCTTCTTGTATGTGTGAATTTTTTTATGATTAAATTCATTTAAAAAAATTGAATAGGTATGAATTCCAAGGTAATTACTGTTCTTGAGAGTTCATAAGTCTGTCAGAATATCTGGAGAAATTGGAGGGGGCATTTCTCTAAATGTTTTTTGAGTGGTTTGGAGACTTTGGAGAAGCACATTTTTTGTGTGGGCTACAAAAAAGTATTTTCCAAGGGTTCCTTAAAATTGAATGATAATTTTGGCAGTGACTAATGTCAACTTCAGTGGAACTACCACTTCTTGGTAGAGAAGGTGGTGAACTATAGTAGTAGGATAGCAATCGCTAATAGCTAGCATTTATATTGTGTTTAAAGATTTGAAAAGAGTTTTTATATCTGTTAATCTCATTTGTTCCTCACAACTCTGAGATAATGCTGTTATCCCCATTTTAGAAATGGAGAAACTAAAACTGAAGTTAAATGACTTACTTAGGATGACACATAGCTCAACATAGCTAAGCCAGATTTTGAATCCCCCTATTCCTGGCTTGCAAGCCCATCATTTTATATTGACTGCACCACCTGACCTTTGAGGCGTTCATTTTCAGTTATGCGTGATGGTTTAGTTGGTTGTTGGTGAATTTACCAGTAGTTAAAAAAAAAAAATGGCACTATGTGGGATTACTTATGTTAAAGTCATTAAGACCATTTTTAGGGGCAACTAGGTGGCACAGTGGATAGAATACCGGTGCTGGAGTCAGGAGGACCTGAGTTCTAATCCAGCCTCGGACACATAACACTCACTAGCTGTGTGACTCTGGCCAAGTCACTTAACCCCAATTGCCTCACCCAAAAAAAAAAAAAGACCATTTTTATAGTTAGTATAAAATTTGTAAGCTTTGGCAAATTCTGTCAATTAACAAATATTTATTGAGTGCCTTCAATACTTAAAGCACTGTGAATGAGATATGTATGTATGTATGTATATATGTATATGCTCTGGTTTTGTAATTAATACTTAAGCAAAATGAGGACTTGAGAGATTGGTTTCAAGTATTGAGAAATGTGTTTTCCTTTCAGATCTATCAAGGAATCGCCTCTCAGAAATTCCTGCAGAAGCATGCCACTTTGTTTCCCTTGAGAGTCTCAACTTGTATCAAAACTGTATTCGGTATATCCCAGAGGCAATTCTGAATCTACAGGCATTAACATTTCTAAATATCAGGTAAGTATAATAGACTTTTTATCAGTTTTATCACTTAATACTTCTGTTGTTGATTTTCATCTTATAAATCTGTCTTTATTTAACACTACATATGGTACATTGCATGTTGGGTTTGCATCACCTGTGTGTACATCATCTTGTATGTATCAGCAGTACTTCCTGATCTTTCCTGTTTTTCCCTTTTTTTGTCCAGGCAGTATTTAAGCAATAGATTTTTGTATTTTTCTTTTCTCACAATTGACATCAAATGGTATATTACTTTTAAATGGTCACCATAGCCTTAGGTCTCAAATTATTTTTTCAAATATATTTCATCAACTAGAAAGAGGTCTGAGATTATAGCTCTCATATCTACATGTGTAGCTTGATTCTTATTTATCTTTGGATGTGAAGATTAATGTACACAAGAAATGCTGCTAGGTAATAAGGATATATAAGACGGTGCCTGTTTTTATGATTAATAGGCACATAGATAGGAATTAAAATTAACCAGTTTTCAACTTCTGGACTTAGAAATTTTAACTCACGTTAATAGTACAGGATTTCTTTTTTTGTTCCTTTAAAAAGTAAAGAGAGGTAGCATGGCACAATGGCTAGAGAATCATCCTCAAAGCCAAGAAAATTTGGGTTCCTGTCTTGCCTGTAACCCATACTAGCAGTGTGGCCTCAGGCAAGTCAACCTCTCAGTGCTCTAGGCAAATCTCTAAGACTATAAATTGCAGAAAAATGCTGGCCTGGACTGGCTGCAGGAATTTCCTTACCTGGGAGTTCCGTATCCTAATCAAATCATAAGTTGAGGCCCTATCCCTATATACAGCAGTAAACATCAATATGACCAGTTAAACTTGCTTGGCAACTATTTATTTACATAAAGGAATTTCATTGCAAAAAATGTCATAATTTTTCTGAACTGCCTTTTTTTTTTTTACTTTACATTATTTAATACAGGTCCTTGCAAGTTTCTTTATATTCCTAATCTTTTTATTAATTAGTTTATTTTGATTCATCAACAATCATTTCCATAAGCTTTTGAGTTTTCAGTTTTTCTCCTTCTCCTTCCCCAAGATGGCGTGCAATCTGATATAGGCTATACATATACATTTCTATTAAACATATCTTCACATTAGTGATGTTGTAAGGAAGAATTAGAACCAGTAGAAGGACCCACAAGAAAGAGGAAACAAAACAAAACAGAAGGGGAAAAAAAAGAGCAAATTGTATGCTTTGATCTACATTCAAACTCCATAATTCTTTCTGTGGATGTGGATAGCATTTTCCATTATGAGACCTTTGGAGATGTCTTAGATCCTTGCATTGCTGAGAAGTGCTAAGTCTGTCGATATTAGTCATCACACAACTTGGCTGTTATTGTGTACAACGTTCTCTTGGTTCTTCTCACTTCACTCAGCGTCAGTCCATACAAATCTTTCCAGGTTTTTCTGAAGTCTGCCTGGTCATCTTTTCTTATAGCACAGTAGTATTTCATTACATTCATATACCACAACTTGTTCAACCATTCCCCAATTGAGGGGCATCCCCTCAGTTTCCAGTTCTTTGCCACCACGAAAAGAGCTGCTATAAATATTTTTGTATATGTGAGTATTTTTCCATTTTTTATGATCTCTTTGGGATATAGACCTAGTAGTGGTATTATTAGATCAAAGGGTAGGCACAGTTTTATAGCACTTTGGGCATAGTTTCGAATTGTTCTCCAGAATGGTTGAATCAGTTCACAACTCCACCAGCAATGCATTAGTGTTCCCATTTTTCCACATCTTCTCCAACATTTATCATTTTCCTGTTTTGTCATGTTGACCAATCTGATAGGTGTAATGTGGTACCTCAGAGTTGTTTTGATTTGCGTTTCTCTAATCTATAGTGATTTAGACCATTTTTTCATATGACTCTAGATGGCTTTAATTTCTTCATCTGAAAACTGTCTGTTCATATCTTTTGACCATTTATCAATTGAGGAATGACTTATTCTTAGAAATTTGACTTAATTCTCTATATATTTTAGGAATGAGGCCCTTATCAGACACATTGGTTGAAAAAATTCTTTCCCAGTTTTCTACTTCCTCCTAATCTTGGTTGCATTGGCTTTGTTTGTGCAAAAACTTTTCAATTTAATGTAATCAAAATTATCCATTTTGCATTTCCTAATGTTCTCTATCTCCTGTTTGGTCATGAATTCTTCTGTTCTCCATAAATCTGATAGGTAAACTATTCCTTGCTCTCCCAGTTTGCTTAGAGTATCAGCTTTTATATCTAAATCATGAACCCATTTTTACTTTATTTTGGTATATGGTGTGAGATTTTGGCCTATGCCTAGTTTCTGCCATAATCTTTTCCAGTTTTCCCAGCAGTTTTTTCCAAAGAAGCTGGGGTCTTTGGGTTTATCAAATAATAGATTATTATAGTCATTGAGTACTATGTCTTGCTTATTTAACCTATTCCACTGATCCACCCCTTTATTTCTTAGTCAATACCAAGCAGTTTTGATGATTGCTGCTTTATAATACAATTTAAGGTCTGGAATAGCTAGGCCACCTTCCCCTGCATTTCTTTTCATTAGTTCCCTGGCTTTTTGTTATTCCAAATAAATCTTGTTATTATTTTTTCTAGTTCTATAAAATAATTTTTTGATAGTTTGATTGGTGTGACACTGAATAAGTAAATTAGCTTAGGTAGAATTGTCATTTTTATTATATTAGCTTGGCCTACCCATGAGCCACTGAATATATTCTTAATATTTATTAAGACACACTATATCTTAGCCAGCATAGTGTAGTAGATAGAGAGCTCAACACAGAGTTAGGAAGCCTTGGGTTCATGTCCTACCTCTGACACATGCTGGGTGACCTTGGTAAAGTCACCTAACCTCTCATTTGCCAGACTGTAAGATGCAGAGAAAGTAGCAATTGCCTCTCACAGGACAAGCATGCCAGCTTAGCTGAAGCAGCAAGGACACACTGAGGAATAGATAGGAGGCAGCATATGCCAAGAGAATCAAACTACTACCACCACTACCTTGACTACCATCTCCTCTCAGACTCCGATGGAGACAACCAGGATCTCAAGTCCAACAGCCTTGGGATTAACAGTGTCTCCAAAACCACCAGACCTGCTTCCACGCCAGGCTCCACAGACCCCTTTGAGGGGAGAAATCATTGAGGAAAAGAGGGCCCACTTTTTCCTCCTTTCTCATTAGCACCTGCAGTAAATGCCAACCAAATGCCATCCCCAGACAGATGAGCATAAGAGCCCTGGAAGTTGCAGTACCCACCAGATCACTGGTACTACTGCTAATTCAGCTCTCAAAGCCATCATCTGGGGCAGCAGCTACTGCAAGAGAAGGGGCTATTCATTCCTGCCAACTGCCATTCATAGGGCACACAGCCCAGCCTAGCTAAAGCATCAAGGCACCCTGAAGGAAAGACAGGAGGCAGCATATGCCAGGCAAGTCAGACCACGACTAGCACCTCGACCACCACCTCAGACCCTGATGGAGACAGCTCAGGAACCTGAGATGCAGCTAGGTGGCAGAGTGGATAGTGCTGAGCCTGAGGTCAGAACAACCTGAATTCAAATCTGGCCCTAATACACATACTATCTGTGACCATAGGGCAAGTCATTTAACCTTTGTCTGCCTCACTTTCCTCATTTGTAAAATAGTACCTATCTCCCAAGTTATTGTGAGGATCCAGTGGGATAAGAGTTGTAAGTTTAGGAGGCAATCCCTGTGGAGATACAGACTGGAAGCTGCTCCTGAAGGTACAGCTATCAAAAACCCAGGAAAGAAAATGCTAGTCAGCAGAGTCCGTAGTCTTTGCTTGAACTGCTTCCACTGCTAGGCTGGCCTGCCAGTCTAAATCCAGATTCCAAACTGGCTTGCTCTGTTATTCAAGAACTACAGGGAATGACTGCATCTTTTCAGCTAAACCTAATTGTATGTAGTGTCATATTTCACCTAGTGGCTTTCACTTTCTAAATTAATTAAATGCTTCACTTTATTTAGTGCCTCTCATTGATTATTTGGTTCAATAGCAGTGTTCTCAAACCTGATAAAGGTATCAGGATATAGATTGTTTTGTTAATTATTGTAAATGGTGTAGGAATGACTGATTCCACATTTTTTGTGGAACCACTCACTACTTTTCTGTGACCTTGAGGATGTCATGTATAATCTTCTTGGGCTTCAGTTTCCTCATCTGTACAATGAAGGTGTTAGATTAAGTGACCTCTTGCTATGAATGACTTCCTTTCTTTCTTTTTCTACTCCCTCTGATGCTACCTTAGTCCAAGTCCTTATGTCTTTTTTCTCCTCATAATTGGTCTTTTAGCTTGGGGTGGGGAGGCGGGGCTGGAGTATGGAGAGAGAAGATTAAAGAAGAGAGGTATGGGAGTAATTGTAGAAGGAGTGAGGGGAGTCTCTCTACCTCTGATTTTTGCTTTTTCTAGTCTATCCACCATAGCAGTGCCAAATCAATTTTCATAAAACGTTGCTTTCTTTGTCCCACTTCCTTGCTCAGAAATCTTAATGGCTCCCTACTATTTATAGGATAAAATTCATATTCCTTAGCCCAACATTCAGTATCATTCAGAGCCAGCTCCTCTCCTACCTTTCTAGTCCTATCTCCCACAATTTTGCTATATGAATCCCATGATACACCCATACTAATGTGCTCCTGTGTCTAGAACATACTTTATGCTTTCCTGTCTCTGTGCTTTTACTCAGTCCATTTTCCTCACCCTCTCCCTTTTCAGATCTACTCTCTACTTTAAAGCTTTTATTTACTAATCTACCATAGAACTCCTATGCACTCATTGTCTGTACAGCTTTGTGATTGAGGTTCTTCTCTTTAAAAAAAATTTTAGAAACAAGAGGGTCTTCCTCTCTCACGAGGGCCAGAAGTACCACTTATCGGCCTGATTGTGGTGACACAGAAAGAAACTTTAACTGCCTTTGTTTCTCCAGCCTGGTTGGTTTTCCCCTCCCTAAGCAGCCTGATGGCTCTTCTTTCCTGAAGGCTCAACATATTATTACTACATTTAGTGTAGACATTTAATCAGCTTCAAAACCCTACTACAGCTCAGAAATCTAGAACTGAAGGGATCTGTCAAACTAAGCTCACAAACATTTATTAATTACCTGGAATGTGCCAGGCACTGGCTAAGCACCAGGGATACAAGTTGGAAAGGCAAAAAACAGTCCCTGCTCTCAAGAAATTGAAAGGAGAAGGAAATAATGGGGGAGACAGCATGCAAACAAGGTCTATACAGGATAAATCGGGAATGATTTCAGAGGGAAGGCACAGAGATTAAAGAGACCTAGGAAAGGCTTCTTACTGAAGATGGGGCTTGAAGAGAGGCAGGGAAGCTAAGAGGTGGAAAGTGAGAGATGGAGATGAAGAGAGACAGAGGTCTAGGCACGGGAGACAGCCAGTGAAAATGCCTGGTCAGGCATGGAGATGAGGCCAGAGTCACTGCCTCAACAGAGCCTTGGCATCAAGGACTACACATGTTTGTCAGCACACACACAGCTACTTGTTATTCTCTTAAACAATCCTTTATTGTTTGATTTATCAGCTTGTTGGCTTCATCTCTTCCTCTACCTCATCAGCTACTTCAGATCAAGTTGTCATAATTCTTTACTCCTTATAGCACTTAACAGTTTCTTCCACATCTGAGGGAATGAATGACTCAAAAATAGTTGATTTGCTTTTGGAGATAGAGCTAGCTGGACAACTGTTTTTGGTATGTGGTTAAAAGCAGAAGAGGTCAAGAAAATAGCTAGTAAGTTTTATTCATACAGGTGAATATTTTACAGGCAACACGAAGAGCAGCTTTAAGGTACCATGGTATCTAGGGAAAAATTTTTTAAATGAAATTGATATTCAATTCAGTTAAGTTCATCAAGCATCGTTTTAGTGCTCTTGTGTATGAAACTGAGGCACTGGAAATATAAAGACAAAACAATGACAGCCCCTGCCTTTAGGGTGTGGTGATTAAAAAGGTTCAAGAGTCATACTTCCTGGGTAGTTTAATAATTTTGTTTATAAGGCCAGCACATTTATTAATAAAAGAATGGTCATTTGCCCTTCTCTCTTAGACCAAAGTCAGTCATGGTGGTGGGCTTACAGCTTATATACCCTTCAAAGAATAGGTGTTCCCCAAAGTGGGACTCAATCCTGATTGATTAACAATTAATAAAAGAACAAATATTACAATGAGGGGCTGAGAGTGACATCATGTCCCCCTTGGACGGAGACACTATCTCTCTATACTCAGAACACCCCTAACCTTGGGCAGTCTACTCAAGCCATCCAAGCTTGAGCAGAACATAATGGCTATTCTACCATGAAAGTTAGTCCAGTCTCATTATCAGCAATGTTCTTCAAGAAATTGAACTTTTTTAATATCAGGACTTTAGAAAAAGAGGGAAACCCTGGATCTCCCCAAATCATTGGTTATTAATAATCATTTCTCCTAGGGGGCTTATGTTTTAGTGAGGGGAGATAATATATGACATGAACGTAGATAAGTAAATACAAGATCTTTTAAAGAGGGAGAATGCACCACCAACAAGGAGGATTACGGCAGGCTTCCTATAATAGGTGACACCTGAACTAAGCCCTGAAGGAGGATAAGAGTTCGAAGAGGTGGATGAGTGAATGCATACCAGGCAGGGAGGTGAGGGAAGAGGGAAGGAACCTGTGCAAAAGGATGGAAATGAGAGATGGATGATGACTTCTGGGAACTGTTAAGAGACTGGTTTAACTGGAACATTGAGTGCCTTTTGAGGCGATAGTGTGAATAAGGCTAGAAAGGTAGATTGGAGCCAGGATTTTTAGCTGAAAGTATTTTAAACTGAGAAGTTTGTATTTTATTTTGAAAGAAATAGAAAGCCATTGAAGATTCTTGAACCAGGGAATGACATCAGACCTTTGCTTTAAGGATGATTATTTTGGCGGATATGTGGAGACCAGTTAGGATGCAGTTGCAGTGGTCCAGGCAAGAGTTGAGTGAATTCATTCAGGAAATATTTATTATAATGAGAGCCTGTACCAGATTGCCAGCCATGTGAATAGAGAGAAAGGGGTAGATGAAAAAGATATAGAGTTTAGATTATATTTTGCAATTGATGGAATGTGATGGAGGAAGGAATGTAAAAAGTTGAGGATGACTCTAAGGTTGTGAATTTGAGTCATTGGAAGGACATTATTTCTCAATAGAAATGGAGGAGAGTGGGCAATTTCTTTCTTTCTCTCTCTCTCTCTCTCTCTCTCTCTCTTTCTCTTTCTCTCTCTCTTTCTCTCTCTCTCTCTCTCTCTCCCTTTCCCCCCTTTCTCTCTCTCTCCTTCCCTCCCTCCCTCCTTCCCCTTCTCTTTCGTTTGAGGGGGTGATAGAAGAAATAATGAGTTTTGTTGAGTCCAAGCTGCTTAGGGACATCTAGGAGATATTCAGCAGATGTTAGGTAATGGAGGGCTGAAGCTCAAAAGCAGTAGTTATGTAGACTTGTGAGTTTTCCACTTGCAGAAAGCAGCTGAACCCTTAGGAGTTGGTGAGATCACTTAGAGATTGCATAGAGAGAAAATAGCAGAATGTCCAAAACAGAGTGTGTAGGAACACCCACGTTTGATGGGCAGGAGATGTCCTCTCTTTGAAGGAGTAGTGAGACAACTGGGAGCAAAATCAGGAGAGAGCATTGTCACCAGAACCCAAGGAAGAAAGAATGTTCAGGTGGAAGGGAGTGATTAATAGTGTTAAAAACTGAAGAGAAGTCAAGTATTATGAATATTAGGGAAAAGGCTGTAAGAATGAACAGATAGGAGAACACCATTTTGCAAGTAATGAGCAGTTTGCTTCCTAAGAAGCCAAATTTCAAGAATTTTAGAAGTGAGTGAGAGTTGATAGCTTTTTCTTGAAGGTTGGCTTTGAAAAACAGGAGAGATTATAGAACAGTAGCCTGAGAGAGTCATAAAGGCATAAAGGTTTGTTTCATTCTCTGTACCTGTATCCTCAGAGCCTTGTTATGTAATAAAAACCTAATAAATACTTAATTGATTTTTTAGAAATTTAATTGATTAATTTTAAATTTAAAAAATCAAATTCAAATTTAATTTTAAAATTAATTGATGTAATTCAAAATCTGGCCATGTTTGTAGGCAGCAGGGTAGAAGCAGTAAAGATGTTGGAGATAAAAGTGTGAAAAGAAATTAAAATTCTTTGTCAGTTAGCTGATAATGCATGTATATTTACTGATAAAGCATTTACTTTTTAAAAGTGCCCATATGGGAACTGTGCATCTTATGTTTAGTATATATTATTGAATTCTGGATGTGAAATATTTTTCCCTCAGTGGTCTTCTCTGACCGCTTCCTCTTTTTCTTTCTCATTTAGTCGGAACCAGCTTTCAACATTGCCAGTACATATGTGTAATCTCCCACTGAAAGTCTTGATTGCCAGTAACAATAAATTGGTCTCTCTTCCTGAAGAAATTGGACATCTCAGAAACTTGACAGAGCTTGTAAGTTAATACCTAATTTTGATTGTGAAATCTATGTATGCTGTTCTTTATATGTGAAAATTATCCATCAGGAAAACATGTACCTTTGGGTTTCATTTTCAGTATTCATGATAGGTTTTGTACCAATCCAACCTTCTTTATTCTTTCTTTTTGTGACAAATAATAGATTTTTTTGAGATCATAGGCTAGAATGAGGGCCATCAAAAGAACAAGAAGGGAACTGGATTGCTGGTGGGATCATAAAATTACAGATTTAGAGCTGGAAGGAAATTTTAAAAGTCATCTCTTCCATCCTGCTTATTTTACAGTGGAGGAAACTGAGGTTGGGAAAAGTTCCCAAGGCCATACCAGATAGTGCATAACAGAGACAGGATTTGAAACTAAGTCCACCACTCTTGGGTCTGTCCTTCATTAAATCTACGCTCTAACCTAATGGTTTAGATTTTTATGAGTTTTGTGAATTTAACAGTTTTCATTTTCAAACACTGAGTTTGCCACTAATATGTAAAATTCTTTAATATCAGTTAGCTCAAGGGCCCTCGTTGTAGTCTATGGCACTCTGGTGAAGCCTGTGGACTCCTCAGAATTTTTTAAATGCATAAAACAAAATACATGGGAATACAAAGGAAGCCAATTATGTTGAAATACAGTTATCAAAACCCCTAATTTAGATAAAGGATTTTGGCTCACTGTTATGACAGAATGGACCAATTATTGTCAGCCCAAGGTAGGAAGACTTTAGTTCATAACCAAACTATGTAGCTTTATAAGTCTTGTTACTCTAAGCAAGTAACTTAACCATTCTGAGCTTCAGTTTTGTCATTTATAAAGCACGTATAACAGTATTTGTATCTACCTCACAGGGCTATCAAGAGAATCAAATGAGATCATATATTTAAAGCCCTTTGCAAACCTTCAAGCTCTACAGAAATATCAGTGGTTAAACTCTTTCACGGTGTAGTTGGAGAACAAAACAAAAAACATGTTTCTCATCAAAAAGCAGGGCAGCAAGGTGGCACATTGGATAGAGTGCCAGGCTTGGAGTCAGGAAGACCTGAGTTCAAATCCAGCCCCAGACACTTAACTATTTGTATAATCCTGAGCAAGTCACTTGACCATATTTGCCTCAGTTTCCTCATCTGTAAAATGAGCTGGAGAAGGAAATGGCAGACCACTCCAATATCTTTGCCAAGAAAATTCCACATGGAGAAATGAAGAGTCAGACATGACTGAAACAACTGAACAACAACAGCAAAAAGCATTTTGTAAATATGAGCTTTTTTTTTTTCACTAGTCAGAGCTTTTCCCAGTTTAAATATGGCTGGATTTTTTCAGTGTTCACTAAATTTTTGTACCACCTCTGTTCCTTTTAAAGCATCTATACACATTCCTGAACTGACATTACAATCATAAGCTGGAATGAAATTGAGTCTACTTGTACTTGAAGAAATGTTGAATATAATGAGCAACATAATAGTTAGATCGTAATTAGCTCACATATTTTGAGTTAGGTTCAGAAAGTGTGAACGCATTCCTACCTTGGGCTGACAATAATTGGTCCATTCTGTCATAACAGTGAGCCAAAATCCTTTATCTAAATTAGGGGTTTTGATAACTGTATTTCAACATAATTGGCTTCCTTTGTATTCCCATGTATTTTGTTTTATGCATTTAAAAAATTCTGAGGAGTCCACAGAAATTGGAAAGAAAATGTGTAACCCATATGAAATCTAGTTCCATGTTCTTAGGGCTGATTCTGTATGAAAGAATTTGTTACAAAAGTTATCAAACATCTTTTTAGAAGTTGGCTTGACAATGTATGTTGGCATTAAAATTGTACATTCTACTACAGTGTGTTATATGTGTCTGATATTTTTATTTTCTATGTAACTTCTGCCATTTACTTGACTTCTGAAAATACTTGAAACAAACATAAGTTTGACAGGAAGACTGAGTCATGCGAATTGTGTCTGTGTTTTGTTCCACATTTATACTTTGTTCACATATTCTGCCGATAAATTAAAATATCTTACCCAACTTTTTTCAATTTATGTATGCTTTAATTACCCATTAGCCACTTTGTGCCTTATTGTGAGGTTAATGAAAATACTGACATCTTACACCTTCTTGGAAATAACTTCTAGTTTCAGAGGGCATAATATAGTCCCATAATTTTTTATGAAGTACTTGAGGTTGCCTCATGGAATGTGAAACCTTGCCTTTTAAAAATATACTCACAGACTTAAATTCACTAAATATTAAAGAGACCAAGTCGAAATATACAATGAATGATGGACATAGAAATACCATTAGAACTCATCTGCCCCAAATCTTTGACTTCATACAGAATTTTACAAAACTGAACTGTTCTAGGCAAATCTTATTTTAAAAGACCTTTAAGGAAAGAGGCTCCCAATCCTCCACTTAGTAATCCTTATATTTTTTATCATTTCCTTAGTGACATGAAACCATTCTTTATAACTAACCTAAGTGCCTTATGTTGCAGTTAAAGATCATTTCTTGATGTTATGTCTTATTTGAAATGAAGATGTTGTCTTGTTAAATTCAGTAAACAACTAAGTGCCTGCCCTACATAGAACACTGCTAGACACTTGAATTCTGTGAACATCTTTTTAAAAACTAAATTTGGTGGTTAGAACATTAAAACACCCAGGTTCCATTTAGATCTTCTCTATTTAGTTGTGTGATCATATTTGACTTCTTTTTTCTCCATTTTCTCTACAGAAAAGTAAAAATAATAGCTACTATCTGAATAATATTGTAAAAGACATTTTAGAGCAAAAACAATTTTAATTAGTTAATTTTAGTTCAACTAAATGAATTTCTTGACAATAAGAATTTTTAAAATACTATCTGTATTAACATGTTATCATTTCACTCATATTGGCTACCATTTCTTTGTGACAGTTTGAAGTTTAATTCACCCAAGTAATTGCCCATGTGGTTCTATCTACTTTCAAAATAATAGTAATATGGATATTCTTTATCAGTCTTATAATCTTCATATGAAGGTGTTTTTAGCACCTTGGGAACCATGCCATTTGCCAAAATTATAGTGGAAGTGATGAATCTGTACTCTAGCTGCTACCCTAGCTTCATGTTGGTGGCAGGTCTCTGATATTTTGTTAACTAATCTGTCAAAAACTTGTTTTTAATTTAGTTTCAATTGTGTTTTCTGCCCTTGTTCCATATGAATCATTTTATTTTCCAATATTCTTTTCAATTTGACTTGTTGAACATTTGTATCAATAAATGATTTTTTTTCTTAAAAACTATCATTATTGCTTTAGCCTTTAGCCTGTTTTTCTTTATATTTCATTACAACAAACTCATTAAAATAGAGTCCTATATAAGATTCTTTTTTGTAACTTCATCTTGCATGCATTTCTGTTAGCATTTTATCTTCTAGGATCTGCTGTTTTTGGCCTTTTTTTCCATATTTAAACAAACTCTTCATCGAAAAAAGCACTCGATTCATTTGGAGTCATAGGACCTGGGACAAGTTTCCAGCTCTGCCTCTTAACTACCATTATAACCTTGGGAAAGTTACTTAATCTCTCTGGGCCTCATTTACCACATCTCGACATCATTTACTTGTCTTGGATGCTTTATGTTAGGTAACCTCTGAAGGTTCCTTCCAACTTTAAGGCTGCAAATACATCCTGTGAATTTTTTGTTTATAAAATTTAAAGCAGATATCTTCAGATTTTTTTAAACTATTCATGAAAATTGATACTATTACTAAAGGTAATGGTAATATATAGTGTTATCAAAAGTAAATACCAGAGCAAACTATGTAAATTAGACGGTCTTGATCATGGCAACAAGAATTTTTAGGGATATTAAGGATTTTAGAAGTCATTTATGCTAATACATTCATTTTTAATATAGTTTGATGTAAATAAATTGCTAATACTAGAACATTTCTTTACTTTTTATCCTTTCGGCATAGGATGTGAGCTGTAATGAAATTCAGACACTACCTCCCCAAGTTGGCAATCTGGAGTCTTTGCGAGACCTTAACATCAGAAGAAATCACTTAGTGCGTTTACCTGAAGGTGAGAAGAAAAAGGTTTTGTAGTTTTGACTTTTTTGGACGCATATTTATAGCATGTAACACGTTATAAAAATGGTCTCTCTTTAGCCTGTTTTGGTTAATTTTTTATTTGGTAGTTTCTTCTACTGCATCATCTTTGTTTTGGTTTGTCAAAGTTGATGCTCCCTCTCCATTGGCATGAAGAACTACTGAGAAGATTCTAGGAGTTAGAGACTAGTAAAACTCACCTCTGGTAGGAGGTTGGTGGAATTTAATAAGAGCGTGATCCCTGAGCATTGAAGTTATATAAATGCTTCAGGGAAACAAATACTATTTTTGGTAAAGAAAGTTTATGACAGAGTAATACACAAAAATTCTTTGAGAAGATACATATTCCATTTCACTACATATTTATTTGAATGTGTGCTACATGATGTGCCTAGTGCTAGGCATTATAGGTGGAATACAGAGAAGCGTGTGGCAAAGATCTATTTATTTATTCTCAAGTTGCAAAAGTAATGAGGGTGAAATCCCTCTTTGTCATGATAGATGAAAAGAAATTAGGATTTCCAGAGTAAATTCTTCATTCTGGAACGTACAAAAGCTAATTGGGTATTTAACTGAAGTTTATTTAAAAAATGTTAAATATAGATAGAATGAAAATTGAACTAGACCCATGAAAGAAACTTGGGATGGTTGAGGTACATCTCTAATCCTTAGAGATTGATGTCATAGATTGATCTAGACCCTTATGCTGTATAAAACTTGATTCTTTTGTCAGTGATCTTACCTGTTGAGTAATTTCATTGGTTCAGAGTATAAATGGACATTTGGGCTTCCTAACTCAAAATTCTAGAAAACTCCCAACATGTCCAATACACACAACCCAACTAGACTACCCCAAATTTATATATCTTTTCTGTTTTCTCTCTGTCTTCATCCTGCTTCCTCTGGGATTTTAGTCTGACTAATCCATTACCTCAGGAGCAAGAAATATTGAGAGCCCTCAGTAGTGCTGACCTAGTGGTGCCCTTGTTTCTTGCTCAACAGAAACTGTGATCCCTCCCTTGCAGTCTTCTCCTGCAGTGCTTAGTCTTCAAAAAGTAGTAGCTTATTGTATAAAGCAGTTTTGATCGTGCGTAATGATTGACTTAAAGTCTTTTTTAAGTGCCAATTCTAGGTTGGGTAAAAAATGTGTATAGTGTTGTAAGAATGTATATTCATGGTCATGTGATTTTTAGTTCTTTGGGATTTTAGGTTGAATTGACTGAACATTTCCATTTTCCCCCCATGCATGCAGAGCTCGCCGATTTGCCTTTAATACGGTTAGACTTCTCCTGCAATAAGATTACATCCATCCCTGTTTGTTACCGGAACCTCAGGCACCTACAGATGATCACCCTAGATAACAACCCCCTCCAGTCTCCTCCTGCACAGGTGAACCATTGTAACTGTTGGAGTAGAGGATAGAATTTGAAATTTAGGTTATTTCCACTTAAGTTTCTTTTTTAAATGAAGCCTTTAAGAAAAGTTATGTTATTGTTTAAAAGCTTTGAATAGCTGAGGTGGAAGGTGGGGAAGATCTCTTGATTTCACTCTTCTTTCCCCTTACCTTCCCCTCTCTTTTCCTCTTCCCCTTCTCCCAACTTCCTTTTTTTCTTCCATCTTTCCTTTCCTTTTTTACAATTGAAATTCCTTCCTTGCAAATATAGTCAAACATATTATGAAGGAAGAGAAAATTATGCTCTTCAGTTTTCTTTATTAAATGTCCATTTAGTCTATCTAGCTATTTTTGTAACTATGTTTCTAAAAACATCAGCTTATCATTTAGCATTTGTTCAACAATAATGACTGAATATAATTTATTCAATAATTTTCAAATAAAATACAATTCTAATGTAATCTTGCATTTGTTAGCAGAGTTCCATCAGCTTTCATAGTATTTGCTATAATATAGTTAATAGAATTCCAGAATTGAAATTACATCTGGTGTTTACTATCTGTTCTTGCACAATTCTGGTTATTTGTTAATTGGTCTGGCAGCTATAAATCTGTGTGAAATATATAGATGGGTGTAATAGTCCCAAAGAATTTAAATTTTCACTTCTGGAAGCATGTGGCTCTTGATATTGGTATAGTGTACTCTATTCTATGTCCCCTAGTTATTTTTCTTCCTCTTGTTAAGATTGAAGATGGCAAGGAGCTCTCTTAATATGAGAGAAATTGGATATATCCTTGGAGATGGAGTGGTAGGGAAGAGAGAAGACACCAAGCATTTATTAAGTGCCTACTACATGCTAGACACTGAGCTAAAGCACTTTACAAATATCTCATTTGATCCTTAGAACAACCCTGGGAGATAGGTGTTATTATTTTCCTCATTTTAGATTTGGGGAAAGTGAGACAGATTGTGATTTGTCTACTGTCCGATAGCTCATGTCTGAGGCTAGATTTAAACTCAGACCTTCTTGACTCCAGGCCCAATACTCTATCCACCTTGCCACTTGTGCTTTTGTAGTAAAAAATCTGCAAGCATTACCTGGGAAGAAATGTTTAATACACTGAGTATAGAAAACAAGTTAGTGCAAGAATAGACACTTAAAAATCATTTTCTTTGTAAAAATGTCTGGTCCACATAAGTCTATGTAGCACCATGGACTTTCTAAGGCAAAAAAAATACCCACCTTAAACAATTAGACACTATTCGGTTAGCTGAATACCATTTTGAAATTAGAGATTCTAATACCACTAATGATGGACAGGTATTTTAATCACTGTCTCATTTTCTACACTTATAAATCAAAGGTGATAGAATTGCTTACTTGTTAAAACATACTGGATATTACAGTAACATGTTGTATGAGAGAACACACACACACACACACATACATACATACACATATATACTAATTTTCCATTAAATATGGTCTCATTTTTAACAATAATATTCTCTTTTTTTATTTTTCTTCTAACTTAAGTATATAGAAATGCCACTTTTTTTACAACTTGATTTATAAAAAGGCATGACTATAATATAGTAGTCCTTTGGATAGGTACATGACCATGTTATTTGTTCTTTCTTTTTCTCTAGATATGTATAAAAGGCAAAATCCATATATTTAAATACTTGAACATACAAGCATGTAAGATTGCTCCAGACCTGCCAGATTATGATAGGAGGCCTATGGGATTTGGCTCCTGGTAAGTGTTTTTTCTTTTATTTATTGTGACCTACCACTTCTCACTACAGAGTAACAAAAATGAGATCAAACTATATATGGCTTGAAACACTTTGCCTTTGCCTCTTTAAGTTACTAAATTAAACACAACTCTTTAGATTGTCTAAATTGGATAAAAATCTAGTAGCAGGAAAATTAAAACAAAAGACAGACTGAATAGTTTAGTAAACTGCAGATGATAACCTGTCTCCACTCTCTCCTTACAAGAAGGCATTTAAGTTCAGTTGGATGTGGATTGTTCTGAGAAGTGAACAAAAGCAGCTACAAAGTAATAGAAAGAGAACTTGTCATTTATCCGGAGGTCACTGATCCAGCAGCCTCAGGTGGCTGGAATAATTCAGTAGAACAGTAAGGAAGCCATAATTGCTCCTGAGAAGACACTTGTACTAAATTTGCAAGAGGGATCTTTATTCCTTTACTCAGAGCCTGGTTGCTCTATGTTTAATTACAGTTCTGATAATTTAAGTATACCAACAGCATCAAATTTTTTGAAAAGGAAATTATTAGAGGAAGCTACACTGACAAAAACAAGAAGTAGCAGCTGACCACTAGGGAGAAAACAAAAGAACTATGACTATCAAATACAAAGTTTTATCCTTTTCTCCTTTCATCTTAATTCTTTACCATTTTTTTGCCTCTGTTCTTCATTATATACATGCTCAGATTTCCCCTAGATCATAGCCTCTTGAAAAAAGAAAACATACTTATCTTCCTTAAAGTTACAAAACATATCCAGACATATATTTAACAAGGAAATCTTCTCTTAACATCTAATAATGGTACCTACCTCTCAGGATTGTTGTGAGATGACCTAAATAGAGACTTCCAGCAAAGATGACTGCCTAAATGGATAAAGGCATCCAAGTCCCCACATACCTACTATATCAAAATCCTAAAAAGTATACTCAATCAAATAATAATCAAGAAATCCAATGAGAAACTAGAATAAGTGCCTTTTTCTACCTTAGAACTGAATTTTAAAATTAGTCAGAAGCCCATAAGCACTGACAAAGGCAAAATGCACCAGCAAAGCCAGTGCAGACAAATAAGGCAGAAGCTTCCCCTCATGACCAAAGTGGAAAGCTCTTCTAGAAAGCCTCATGGTGATCAGAAACCCAGTCTGGACTCTGGAAGTGACAAGAAGTAGCAGTGTCAAATCTAGGAGTGGTAGCACTCAGACTGAGACGCCCAGGTCCAGGGCCTTCAAGTCCCATCAGCAAGATTTCACAGAGGTCTCTAAAGATCCAAAGTACTGAACCTCAAAGATCCAGTGGGGCAGTACATAGGTGACCCAGGTCAGGAACAAGCCAGACCAGCAGATCCTGCCCAGAAGCCCAGCAAAAGGTGAGGAAAAGGACTTGGCCTGTGCATGAAGTCCCAATTCAGAAACTAAAGCAGGAAAGATAAGTAAACCAAAAAAAAAAACTCTCCATTATGAAGAATTACTTTAGATCTAGAGATACCCAAATATCTATCTTAAAAGAAGAGAGTAACTTAATAACTTCATAAGAACTGCAAACAGAAATTCAAAGGAAAAAAACAAATTATCCACGAAGATTTCATGAATACTTAGAAGAAACAAAGCAAGAAAAATGAACTAAAAGCTCTGGAGAAAATATTTGGAAGGAGAATAAGTACCTTAGAAGAGAAAATTGTAAAGCTTACCCATGTAATTTAATTCCTGGTCATTAGAATGAAACAAACAGAAATGACTGACTCTATCAGCTAGCAATAATCAAAACATTAGGAGAGGCAGATCCAAGATGGCAGGGTGATAGGAAGCAATGTAGCAAGCTCTTCTTCATGAATTTCTTCTAATAGATCTAGAAAATGCACCAGACCAAATCCTTTTAGGAAATCCAGAAAAAGTCACAGTGACTCCTTTGTCCAGTCTAGCTTGACATAGGGAGGAAGAAGTCTGTAGACTCTGGAAATGGGGTAGGGCCAGGAGCACTGTACATGGTTTTGCTGCGCTCAAGAGCAGCAGGAGATCTCAAACACATTTCAGTGTACACCCAGACCCACACTGAGGCACTGCACTGTGGACACTTTCTAACTGGCACCTTTGTCACAGAGAAAGGAGGAAGGTCAGAAGCTGTTAGCAGCATCAGTGGGGCTCATACCTCAAGTATGACACTTAGACACTTCCAGTGTCTAGCCTAGTCTGCAAAGGAATAACTAGAGTGGGAATCCCAAACCAAAAAGGAGCCATAATCCTGCCCCTCTGAGCTGACAGAGCTTTCCACTTGATTGACAGGGGTGGAGTACAACAGCTGTTTGCTCTTGCTCAGAACTAGAGTCAGGTCAGGAATTTGCAAAGCTTAGACCCGGGGGACGACAATCAAACTTTGCCCTTGATCAGACCACTTTGGGACCACTGAAAACTCGCTGGTCCCCAGTCTGCCCCTGAGATCCTGGAATAACACCATACTCAGTACTTCAAGAAAGCAGCAATAGGACCAGCTCAAACCTTCACACCGGAAGTGCTGCAGAGCCTAACCTTGACATCAAAGCCAAAGTCAAGAAGTAATTGAGAAGAATGGACAAATAAAAAAGAACACCCCTTCCATGCCCAGTAGTGAATTGTTACAGTGTCAGGGACGCTAAAGACACAAATGCAGAAGAGAATGACTCCAAAATGTCTATAAGCATTGTCTCAGAGAAAAACACAGCTTGAGCAAAAATTCAACTAGAATTCTTAGAAGAAGTGAAGCATGAATTTTTAAAAAAAAAAAAAAAAGTTTAGAAATGCATTCATAAATGGAATGAGAGCGCTCAAGGAAAGATTGGAAAATAAATGAGAGCTATGGAAGAACAAATTGGAAAGGCAATTTTCAGCTTGACACAAGAGATATAAAACATTGCCTAAGCTGCAAACTGCCTAAAAATTAGGGTGGACCAAATCACGGCTGATGATTGCACGAGTCAACAAGAAATATTAAAACAAAGTACAAAGGCTGAACAAAATAGAAGAAAATGTAAAGTTTCTCATAGCAAAAACAACTGACATGGAAAACAGATCACGGAGGGAAAAAATTTTTTTGGAGGCCGTCAGGGTTAAGTGACTTGCCCAGGGCTACACAACTAGTAAATGTCTGAGGCTGAAAGAAGGAAAAATTTAAGAATCATTGGACTGTCTGAACTCCATAACCCCCTCTCCCCAAAAAAGAGCCTAGATATCCTTTTTCAAGAAATCTTAAAAGAAAATTGCCCAGATCTCATAGAACCAGAGGGCAAAGTAGATATAGAAAGAATCAACTAGTCACTTCCTGAAAGAAACCCTAAAATGAAAATTCTCGGGAACATCATAGCCAGTATCTTGGGTTACCAGGTCAAAGAAAAACTACTTCGAGCAGGCACCAGAACAAAAGAATTCAAGTGCCAAAGAGCCACAGTCAGGTGGCCCATCCCAGAACTTTACCAAAAAAGTCAGCCAGAAGCCCATGGGCAATATAGTAAAGAGGACTGACCACAAAGCTGGCACAGAAAATTAAGCCAGAAGCTTCCCAGGCTCTATTCCTGAATGCTTCAAGTTTAGAGGACTCTTCCAAGAAAGTCTCAGAACTTTTCTACAGGGGAAAACAAAATGTAATAGAGGACTTCAAGCATTTCTGATGAAAAGACAAGCTGAATTGGAACTTTGAAATGCAAATGAAGAGAGTTAAATAAGAATGAGAGGACTTGCTGTTGGATTTCTTCTCTTCTGAGAATTGTAAGAGAGGGAACTGAGAAGGAGGGAAGTAGAGGAGGTGGAAGAAGTATACTAATGTACAAAGGAGGAAGCAGATGGTTGAACTTGTTATTTCTCATAATTGGAATGTATGAGAAGAGTATTATACGTACACAGAGAAATAATAATTATAGTAGCTAGCCTTTACATAGCACCTACTACGTGCCAGGTACCATGCTAATATTATCTCATTTGATCCTCCCAACAACCCTGTGATGTAGGTGCTGTTATTATCCCCATTTTGTAGATGGGGAAACTGAGGCAGACAGAGGTTAAGTGACTTGTCCAGGGTCACACAGCTAGTAAGTATTTAATGCTAGAGTTGAACTCAGATCCTCCAGGCTCAACTGACACCAGATGAACCTCATTCTGAATGGAACAAAGGACGGTTGAACATGCGCTCACACACGAGTTGGGGCATTCAAGAGGCAAATAATGCCAAGAGTGGAATAATTATAAGCAAAACAAACTTCCTGATCCTGAAGCAGAAATTAAAAGGAAAAAAGAAAAACTACAAAGAGCTGGAAATTAAGGAGGTACTCATCAGTTGGAAAATGGCTTAACAAATTGTGGTATATGAATATAATGAAATATTTTTTGAAACACAAAAAATCATGAAAACTATGATTTCAGATAATACTGAGCAGTATGAACACAAAGTGAAATGATCAGAACCAAGCAAAGAATCTATAGGTGAATAACACCTTTTAAAGAGAAACAGCTTTGTAAAACTTAAGGACTTTGATCAGGGCAATGAACAACCATTTCTGCATTGCACACTACCCACCTCCTTCTGGTTAGATGATGGACCTAAAATATAAATGGAGACCCACAGTTCAAGCATGACTCTGTGTGTTTGTTTTACTTGACTTTGCTTATTTGTTGCAAGGTGATGTTTTCACCCAATCTTTTTGACTGGGGAAAGGAGATTAAGATGAGGGAAAGTTAGTAATGTTGATGTGAAAAAAGAGGGCTGCTAAAACATTTTTAAAAAATGGACAGAACAGAAGGAAGGTCAAAAAGAAACACATATAATCAGGACAGTTTTGAAAGTAACATATTGAATTTATTCTGTACTAAAAAAACCGAGCAGGAGGGGATTGAAATTCATTTTTTCATATACAATTACACAATCTTTTTTCCTTTTCTTTGTTTTAGTATTTTACTCTGTGCATGGAAATGCCCTTTTGGGATGTTTAAGTTCAGAACTCAAAAATAAAAGAAGAGATAAC